ACAGTGGACACATTTAAACTTTTTTTTTTACTTTTTCATAATCTTAACACGTAGCCTGCCTGAATCACGCTTTTGCATGATAAAAATGTTTATGATTACTAAAACTATTAATTGCACCCTTTAATTAAACAAACCAGTACACTGTAAACCACACGTTCACAGTTCCTCAATCTGAGTTGACAGGCCCTATTTTTATAGTAAACAGTTTCGGTAAACCCAAATATTTTGAGGTAATCATTTGTCAAACATTTTGAGTCCTGTGAACTTTTTTGGGTTTACGGTGTAAAAAATATTTGCTATAAATAATATCATATATGGTAAGGGTATGTTTCAAAGAAAAGTCTGTTTTAGTAGTACTTTTTTTGTTACTATTTGCTGCCTCTCAGATGTTGCTACAGTCTCATACTATATTGTATGGATAGTATGCAAATATAGTCAATGTAAGCTAATTATCTATAATTCAATATTTTATTAAATGTTTACCAATTTGATTAGATTCGTGATGAGAGATATATATTTATATATACACCTCCTATACTTCTAGGCAGATAAGTAAAACCAATGGTTGTATTCCAGTCCTTTTGGTAAATAATGCTTGACTTGTATTTAGATTTGTGTAATTTATTTCACTGAATGGCATAATGTGTGCTTCTGGGAAATTAGCTTGTTTCACGTTTGCTGACCTAAACAACTTTTTGCTTGAATCAAATATTCCCGCATTTAGCTGCCACAGGCATATCTTGTCTCTTCCAGCCACATCACTCTACATTCGTATTAAAAGTAGGTCTAATGGGCAATTAAGAGTCATAAATGTACTTGATATGCAGGTATTTGACTATTTGTACCAAAATGAGCAAACCCAGGAGGAAAATCTGCAATAGAGCACCCCTCTCCTGTGCCAAATCCCTATATGCTAATAATCAGAGTCCCTGACAAGAGTTTTCTTTAATGCAGTTTTCTTGTACATTGAAACATATGGCAGAATGAAAATGTCTTATATTGTTATGTTGATCTCTCTTTGTTATAATAAAAAAAACGTTCAGACACAAAAAGTCACGTAGCCTTTAAAATATGTCACAATGGGAATAAATTTACTCAAATGCACTCCAAAAAAAAAAACTGAAATGAATAAAGAACATTACACTCTGTGGTACAGCTGGTTAAATGTTTGTACACTTGTATGGTTGACCTAAATTAACTTTTCCCCATGAAAAGAGTGTACTCTGCGATTATAAATCACAGACAAACATGAGACATTATTAAAGGTAAAACGGTTTATTACTGTGTCTTTTAGCATATTAGACTTAACAATTTGTGTGGCCCTGATTAAGTCATACAGGCTATGCACTCTTTTCATGTGGAAAACATAATTTTGATTAATTATATAAGTGTACAAACATGTGACCAGCTATACAGCAACCAGAAGATGTACAGTTCTTAAATTTAGTGTTTTTAAAAAATTGTAATGAATTTAAAATATAACAAATGTTGATATTTTATTCAGGCTAATCTGAATAAAAGACCTTTTGTTTGTCTTTTCATTCCGCCGTCTCATAAAATACGTTTCACCGGATGTTTATGTCTCATTTATAAGCTTTATTTGTACAGTAACGTTACATCCATTCTGCGTTTTTCAAAATTTTGTAGCACGCCCTATTTTGGTGCAGCCATTGGAAAATCTACTGACCTAGAATCAGTTGTAACCAAGGTCGCATGACTATTTTTAAACTTTGTTCCGGAAAACTGTTCCTAGACCTGCACAGATGCAAAACGTTTGATTGGTCCGTTGTGGGCAGTCTCCGCCTCAGGGTTTGAGTTTGAATTTCATTGGTCAAACTCATAGAAATGGGCGGTGCTGCTGTGAATGGATTTTTTTGTTGTTTTTAACATCAGCTGTTAAGTCGAGATCTGTCCTAGTGCGGTGCTATGTGTTTCTGTTGAATAAAAGCTAAATCATATAAATTATTACACGCCTCTACCTCGGATTAAACTTGCCAAAGACATATTTAGTACAATACCTCGGAAAATCGGCTGCTGCTGTTACCAAGAAACGGGTATGATTTACTTCTACCTAAAATACGATGCAGAACACAGGTTTTGTTTAAATATTTGTATGCATGTCAAAATGTTGTAAATATCGTATATTACATTTGTATTTTGAAATCTAATTCATTTTCGGTTCACGTTTGTTTTAAAGTACAATCCCATAACGTCCCCGACACGCCTTTCTCAATTATGATGTTGGTTCAGCTCAACAAACAGTTCTTTGATAAATATGCTGCATAAACCATGCTTAAAAACCATATAAATTAAGCTATTTACTCATGATGCAGATGTGTTAAAATAAAAGCTGCCTTTGTTTTAGTTAGACGACCCTCAGACGACTGCAGGGCGACAGATGGAGAGCAACAATAGAAATGGGGTCTAACAATGCTCCCCAAATTCACTCCCCCCCCCATCTTTATTGACCAGAGACATCTCCAGATATTAGCCTTAGCTGAAGTCATATTTCAGTAAGTGGTGTGATGGTGACTTGTTTAGGCAAAGCATTCTGTCTGAGAGCTGTGCTTTGAAATGTAGCCTCCCCATGGATATGGTTTTACATAAAATATGCTCTTGATTCTGAAGCAATATGAACTTACAATATCTCTAATCATGACGTAAATGTATCACAGTGTTTGCATCCATAATTTATGCAATGCTACATTTTCCATACCAAAGGTCATACTGCTGGGAACTGCTTATCACTTGTTTACCAGGCAGCCAGGCTTTTATCAACTGTTCATTGCAGCCGCCAGCTAATTTTTCATCATGTTTCAACGACTCACAAACCTGTTCTTTGGAAACATGAGTGAAAGCCAGGAGATCATAGTACCTGAACCAGCTTCCCCAGAGCCTGATGAAGAGGGCTGGTTGCTAGTCAATGCTATTGGTGAGTCCATACCTGTAAAGTTGTGGGTGGGATCCTTGGGTTTGTGATGTCAATTTTGTGGTGACTTCAGTTGCTCTTCAAACACTTGTAAAAGGTGTGATTTTGAAGTCCCCTTTAACTTCTTTCATTTGATCCTTGGCAATTTGTAACTTTTGTAATGACTTGCGTGCAACAAGAACACAGGAGTCTATTGCATCCAGTTATGTGTATTATTTTCTATTGCAGATGGAGAACAATCCTCGGAAGCCTCTGAGGTGCAGCTCAAGATAATCAGTAGTATATCAAACACTGAGGTATCTGCAGCCAGTCTGGTTAACGAATCAAGGTAAAACGAGACAGATCTGCTTATGCATCGCCAACAAGTCTATCATGCTTCAGAGGCAAATCAACTTTTGTTTGTTTTCTTTTTAAAGTAGTGTAGAAGCGGAAGTCCCCAAAGTTCCTATTCCCCGAAGCAGTTCTCGAGTCTCGCAGCGAATGGTATCTCAGGCAGGAGTTCTGTTCAAAGTAACACAGATGGGCAGGATACAGAGGGCACAGGCTCGAGCCAACCGTCGCACTCTTGGACGCAACTCTATTCAGCGGCAGAATCACACGCGCCAACATCTTCCTCAACACTACTCTCGAATGCACCGCGTCATCCTCCACCAACCTGGAAGGTGTAATGCGTGTCACTAAGACACTAACATCCTAAGCTAACTACACTCCTGCAAGTTATGGTGCATAATAAACACTCCACATGACCACATTTGAAACTTAGCAAATTCGTTGGCAGCTAAAACTGAGACTATGTTGTATTTCTCTCTCTTACCCTTACCCCTGAGCCCCTCCAGTTCTTGAAACCGTGGGCTATGAATTGGGACACCACTATGAATCTATGTCGATCAGCCAAATGGCTTTGAAGGATCAGCAAATGCATCAATTCGGAAACAAAGGATGCTTTGGATTTAGTCTATTGTGTAACGCTAATGTTATGAGGCTAATGTTTTCATATTTTGAAGACTCTTATAAATGACCAAGTAGATATATTTGTTGGGCTCTTTGGTTGTACTAGTAGCTATCTTCGGGCTAGCTTTGAAATCAATTATAGCTCTTCATGTGGAAGTTTGTGTCCAGAAGAGGGCTACACACGTCTTGACTTGGGCCCTTCAACTTTCAAAAGAGAATTGGGACACCCCTTCAACTCACATGAATGCAGGGGGAAAAGGGTTTTTTTAGAAATGGAACTCAGTCGTAGGGTATAAGGAGGTCATTGGAGGCCTTAAACCTCAAAAACTTTTAAAGGTACAGTGTGTAACATTTCGCCACTAGAGATTATGATTCTTAAGCAAATAAGAACCATACAAAACTGTTTCTTCAGCCAATGACTGGTGTTGTAGATGCTACATAAGTACATCACAAAACTGTGTTTGGTCTAAGGAGTTTGCAAGTTGGGATTTCATGAATTAAAAAAAAAAATCAATAATCTGAAACCTTTACCAAGTAAAATTACCCAACGCAAGTGGCTTTCAAGACCTCTAAATTGTACACACGATACCTTTAAATGATCTTATGCATATTTTTAATGTACTTGACTGTCCGGCAGCAATAAAGCTAAAACATATTAATTCATATTCTTGTCTTTCCGTTTTTTTTGGAACATTGAGTAGTAAGTGCACTAAAAAAAATAACAAAATATGTTTTTTTTTCCTCTTGCTTTTCCTCTTTATATGTAATAGGAAGTAACAGAACTGCAATTCCTCTACCGGTCGCTAGAGGCTGGCTGTAGAAGTCTCATATTTCAACCCCTGGCTCCATTTGTTTGGTTGATTTAGATCTCTAGCATTAGCCTTTATGAACACTCTGGGGGAGATTAATTTTGTGTGTGTGTGTGTGGCCTCTATTCCCAGGTCTCGCCTCTGTGGATCTTTTGCCCATTTAGGATAACCCGGGAAGTGATGCAAATTCACTTATTTTCTAAAAAGTTTTTACAAAAACCACTCAAAAACCCCTCCATATCCCCGGCTCTGGAGCTCATAGAGAGATGGGCCCAGGCTCGTTGGATTCATCCCGACGAGGGGAACATGCTGTCACAGCCAGGGCTTGAACCCTGGTCTTGAGTATGGTAGGCGAATGCTTTACCACTAGGCCACAGGTGTGAGTGGATCAAAATAGAGGCAACCAACAAAAAGTCTCTCTGGTTAAGTGGAGGATTTATTTAGTTTCCAAAAAAAAAACACAGCTCCACAACAAAAAATGTGAATAGAGTCTTCAAGATTTAAATCAATAGTATTTGAGAATCAGGAACAAATAAAACTCACTACAAAGGAGAAAAACTAAATGCCAGAATTCACCAACAGAGTACTCAAAAAAAATTCAGGTCTCTCACGTTAATCACCAAGCAAAGAACAGAACAAAAAGAGCTACTTAAATACACAGTGTTAAATAAGGGACAGGTGACTCCACTTAAACTACATGACAGAACGAAAGAAAACCAGCACTTTGGCGACATCTAGTGGCAATACTTGAAATGACAGATTGTGACACGTGGTAGAAATTTTTACAAAATTTGATATTTTGGTTTTACATTACCATTACATTGAAATTTCAAGCTTATTTTTATTTTACAGACCCCAAATCAGTTCCATTTAGTCGAGAAAAGAAGGGATATTCCTTGGACATACAATACTTTTGATATGGCTTGTGTTTTTCAGAGTTTTGATGCAAAAAAGCACAAAGGAACAAAAAGCGTTTGGAACAGTGAATGCGATTTGGGATTTGAGTTTGTCTGTTTTATTTTAAATACATATTTTTACATTATTTTACCTTGTCTTTGCTTTTTTGGGGGATTTATAATTTTTTATATTTTGTTTCAGCACTTTTGATTTTTATTATAAAAAATTTCTTTTTTAATTTTTGCAGTTGACAATATCTAATACCCTGAATTGTATTTTTTGTATAATTATTGTGTAATATAATGAAAAAAGGAAGAAGAAGAAGAGGCTAAGTTTGTACTAAAAAATGTTATCAAGGATTGCCACAAACCACCGTTTTAAAGAGAAGTTATTTGAGGCAATTGTTAAGTAATGAAAATGTCCCGGACTTCTAAGGATTAAGATAATATACATTTAGGATGACTGAATAGAATATTCTGTATTAAATAATCAATATTGTAAAATGATGGAAAGTTACCTGTGATTGAAGCATTTAATGCAGTGTTTCCTAACAACCACAAGGGGGCGATTTCTATCATCACAATTGAGCTTTGTTTGTGTGTGTGTGTGTGTGTGGGGGGGGGGGGGTTAATGCAAAGAACTCTTGTTTTTATAACTGGTTTAAAATATGATCGAATTAGATTATCATTAATGGCAATATTTGTGTTTTTTTCCCCTTTGTGCTTCTTTCTAAATGACTATCCTTTTGATCTTGAACGTTGGTTGGGTATTTGAATATTCTCTTCTATTCAAAGCTGATGGTTTCCAGTCAAAGTGATCTTTAAGTTTCCAGTGCGCAGGTTTTTCTGTTTGTTGTTTCTCTGTAAGCACATCTCAGCCCTGCAGGATAAATGTCACAGATAGAATGTATGCTCAGCGCTCTGCTTAGCTGTCAAGCTATTAACAACCCAAGAGGCTGTTTCAACAATCAACACTACCTGCTACCTACTATTGACCAGATCACATGCAGTGAAACTGGCCGAATTGTGATTCGATAATATGCAGGTTTTCGGTTACATAACCTCTGTCAGGAGATCTCATTGCACACACTATCACTCATATCTCCTAAACACTGCCCCACTTCAGCTCTTCTTCATTCTTGTTAATCACCTGATCTGATGAGTGCTGAGATAAAGTTCAGCTTATTCCAACTATGGCAAGTGGCGTCTGGAGATATTTGAGTATTGTATTGTGTCAGTATTCCTGCAGCTTTATCTGTTTGAAATGTTCAGAGTATATGCATGATGTGGGATGAGGGTGAACAGAGTGACCTTTTTTCTTTAACCTTCACCCAGCCGCACGGAATACACCCCCCCCCCCCACACACACACACACTCTTTATTTTCACACACCTTCACACATTTGCTTTTATACTGTAGACAACAGTGTCCAAGTTTTAAAATGTGAAAACTCAGTCCAAGATTTTCCAGAGCAGGAGGGCTGCCAATATTAAGATTTCTTAATATTTCACTCAAAAATCAGCCAAACCCTGCGATGTGTTTTCCATTACCCTAGACATTCCGAACATAGATTTGCACTGTATTAGCCTCAGCCTGTGTGCTGAACTGAGCCATGAATTTCTTACCCTTTCTAATGCCTTTTAAGCAGCGTTTTACTATGAAAAGAACGTGTTACAAAACAAGTTCATCAAGATGAACAGTGCAACCTCGGGGATTTGGGGTCAGCTTCTGTCAATTATGAAGAGACTGACAAAAACACGTGCAGATCTGCTAGTCCAACACTCCCCGTTAAGTTTAAGTGAGGGCCTATGGGTTGATCCCTGCTTAGTTGTGGGTATTCTCAAGCAAGGGGAGCTTCTAAGGAGTGGACATCTGCATGAAACGGGGTGCATATTTAAATTTACACGTGTAAAGACAAAGGTAATTACAATAATAAGCTGTGCATTTACTGGCCAATGGAGTAAAAGTAGTCTCTGCCAAGTGGTCTCGACTCCTTTATTCAGGTAAAAGTAACTTTTGCATTTGCACACTAAGGTGAGACAAAAAAAGTCATGCTGTTTCATCAAAAAGTCCAGTATGAACTTTCCAAAGTCAGTTTCCCATAATATTGATGCTGTGAAGGCTGTAATGAGTGCAAAAAGAGGCACAAAGTGCTGAAGATATAAATGTTTTAGATCCTTTTTATTGGTCACAATAAGTAATAAAAATGAAACAATAAAAAGCTTGAATAATTTCACTTTTTGTGTTGTGTGTTTGCGGAGCGGATAGGGCTGTGGCCTTCCAGTTAGAAGGTTGTTGGATCGAGGCTTGCCAGTGACCTTCCTGGAAGTAGGTTCTCCCTGTGTGGGTTTCCCCTGGGTACTCGGGTTTCCACTCCAAAACATGCGGCAGGTTAATTGAATAATCTAAATTCTCCTTAGGTATGAATGTGTGTGTTCATTGTGTTTCCCTCTGATGGACTGGCGACCTGCAACCCCTCTCGCCCGATGTCCGCTGGCAGACCCCCATGACCCTAAAAGGGAATAAGCGGGTTTGGAAAGTTAATGTTGTGAACTAATACACAACTAATTATTCAAATCAAGGTTTTTCCCTCAATTTTCAGTTTACTGTGACAATAAAAACCGTAAAAAGACAGTCGACAAAATTACAAAATATTTAAATACAATTAACTTAAATTATTGTTAAAATTTGGACTTGTGCCACTGAATCACATGAGGAGGCGTGGCTTTTTTCTTGAACTTTCGTCTCATGTGGCAAACATATGTCCGAGACACTTTTGTCCTCATCCAAATTTTATAAGGTCCCACAATTGCCATTAAACAATGTGGGATTTGACCTACAGCGACAGATGAAAGAAAACGTATTGAAGAACTTGTAACTCAAGACGTGAATGTCCACACGTCAGGTTAGGCAAGGTAACCTTCTCCAATGACCGTTCTCCTTCGTCTCATTTCTGTGGCACGATTCACTCGCCATAGTCTACAAGCCAAGGCATGAACCAGAAACCAGCGGATTAAGTTTATGCAGCAGAGCCAACCATCTGACAAGTTTGTGTTGTTGCTTAAGTTATGTTATTTACCGTTTGGATTCATCACGGTTAATAAAAAAACAAAATTAAAGTATGAACAAACATTTTTTTTATTCTCATTATAATATAATTAAACGTATGAAATGTAAAGAAGGACTTCGTTTAATCTGCTCAATAGAGAACCATAATGGCATTTTGTTTTGTACATCTAGATGTCTAGTCACGTGACTCCAAACGGCGCTAAAGGTATGTCCATGACGTCACGCTCGGCTAGTACATAGTCGTCTGCTTGTTCTGCTGCACCTGAAACGCTCAGAAACGATATAACATGGAGCGGTCCTGCGAGTCACAGGAGCACTACTTTATCGTTCTGAGAAGAAGCAAGAAGGGACTGTCTCGTGGCTCCATTGGGCTCGCGGACGCGGAAACAGCGGCTGCGGAGAATATCACAGCTGTGGTGTACAGTGGAGGTGGAAGTGCCCGGAGCCGAGGGACGGTGAAGAAGCAGGACACGTTCACTCTGTCGAAGCATCAGGCTCGGCTGCTGTTGAGCGTATCTCCCGCTAGCAGGAGGCTGGAACTCTTGGGAAACCTCCAACTCTTTAATGCTGTTTGTGAACTGGCGAGAGACGACCTGGTGGTGGTCCGACTCAAGAAGAACCTTCAGCCATGTCTGGTGAAGAACCTGGTCCAGATAGGCAAGAAAGAGAAACCAGGATCCTTACTGATGCTGGGATTTGAACTGGACTTGGTGGTGAGAAAACCTTTCAGAATATACACTTTGTGTTTATTTATATGCAGATAAACAAATACAACGTAGACATACGGTAATGGGCAAACAAAGTTTTAGGTGTGTGCGAACAAGGAATACATAATGCATAAAACATGCATAAATAATTACTCTTTATTTTCTAAGTAAAATATTTTTTATTTCTTAAAAAAGCGACATCAATTGTTGTTTGTACGCTTGCACAAAGTTATGGGGTTTTCTAGGATTATGTTGGGTGCATGATTAACAATTTTTACCAAACAGCTGCTGATGATCATCAATGGCACACGTAAGTTGAACTAAAACAGAAACAGCCGTGTAGGAGGCCTAAAACAGCCAAACTCTTCTACCAAGATCAAGTTGAAAATGACATCGCAAGAGTGAGTGCAGCGACAGACACAAGGTTGTTCTTTTCAAGACAGATATTTCAATGCTGGCTGATGTGCTGTTCAAGCTCTTTTTAAGTATCACAGAGAAAAAGACAACAAAGAAGATTGTAGATGTTTGCAGCAAATGCGAGTTACATGAAACTAATTACTATTCAAAGAAGGATGATATCTAGTAGTGTAGTAACCTCGTTTAGGTTAAAGGCACTCTTTGGAGAATGTCTATAATTTATATCAGAAACAACACCATCCCATAAGAATAAAAGATTCACCAACAAAAAATGTTGAGTTGTTGATGGGTCTT